GGAACCCCATTTCCCTGCTAACTGGGCCTTCCCCAGCTCCTCGTCCCCTGTATCCGTGGTGCTGTGCAGCCTGACGTCCCAGGAGGAGCCGTGTGAGGAGGGGGGCTTTCCACAGAGCCTCCACACCCACCAGGCCACCCAGGTAGGGGACAATCGGGAAGCTGTGGGCCAGCCGGGACCCAGAGCACAACTGGGCCCCCAAACAGGCAAGGAGAGGGAGCCGGGGTCAGGGTGAAGGCGTCTCCACAAGGGACACTTTGGGGCTTGGGCCTCTGTGCCCTGGGGAGGGGGTCTTGTATGCATCACTCCCTGTTGAGCATTTCCTGGGATGAGTACAATGGTGGGGATAAGGAGGGTGTCCTGGGAGCCCATGACAGGGACAGCTCACCTTGTCTGGCCTCAGAGTCAGGGCAGCCACCCCCAAAAGTCATGCTTAATTAAGACAAGACCTGAAGGACAGTTTGGGGACAGTGTCCCAAGAGTAGGGGAACAGTACATGCAGAGATCTGGAGGCCAGGGACAGTGTGGCATGCTGGCAGAGCTAGAAACATGGCGGGGGCTGTGAGTCAGGGGAGCCAGTGCGTTGGGGCAGCCTGGACCTTGTCAAGCTCAGGCTGGGGAAACGGCATGGTTCCACCTGGGTTTTTGGAAGATACCTCAGGCTACATGTAGAGGGGATCCCTCCTGCTTAGGGGACCAAGTGGCTGGGACCCTGTCACTGTCCAGCTCGACATTGGCTGTATGACCGGAAGTTTTGACTCTCAGCACAAGTTAAGGGAATTTCTTCTCACCCTTCCTGTGTTTAGTCAACAATTCCCACTGGGGCCTCCTCTGTCGCAGGCTCTGTGCTGGGCCCAGTTGTGGGGAGACAGAAGTGGAGGTACACACAGGCCTTGCCTTCCAACAGCACAGTAGCCAGGGAGAAAAGACATGCAGAAAATAACTTGAGTAGAGGATGGAGTGGGTGAGAGCCCCCAAAGAGCCCCTGCCCTGTAACCCCGAAGAAAGGGGACAGCACCTGAAAGCAGAGGGAGAGCCTGGCAAGGCGCTCGCTAGACGTGGAGCTCAGGCCTGAGCCCACTTCATATGGAGGCGAAGCCAAAGCCTCAGGTAGGAGATGGGCGAGCTGCCTGTGGCTGGGCCTCACGCTGCCCTGCCAGAGAGCATGACACATGTGGGTTTGCAGTCCGGCTCTGCCATCTCACCGTGTGGTGTTAGGCAGGTATCTCATCTATAAGCAGCATCACCTCATTAGGGTGTAGTGAGGATGGACTTAATGAAATTCTTGGGTGTGCCTGGAGCATAGTGGGTGAGAGGGATCATAGACAAGACAGGGAAGAGAGGCAGGGCCAGGTGAGGGCAGCTGTAGACTGGTAGGTACCTGGCAAAGTCTGCTTCGAGGGTGGCTGCCACTGCTCCCCGAAGACCGTGCTCCCTCGGACCTCTCTTCAGAGCTCTCTGCTTGCCCCGTTCATAAAACTGGCCGCACAGCCCAGAGCTGTGATGGCCTGTGAGAGGGGTGCTAGCTGGGACAGGGGCAGGGGGGCCTGTCCTGACCCTCTCTCCCCTCTCTCCAGGGCACTTCCCACCAGTGGCCAGTAACCATCCTGTCCTTCCGTGAATTCACCTACCACTTCCGGGTGGCACTGCTGGTGAGCTCGAGCACCCCATCTATTCCCGGAGGTCCAGGCATCTGTATCTGTATGGGGCGTGGGGGAGGGGTGGGAGATTTGCAGAGCACATGGCAGGACTTGGGGCTTAGTGTCAGGCAACGTCAGCAGAGGGAGTGCCTCCTGCCTTGCACCCCCAGAGCCACCTCACCCATTCCTCCTGCCCTCCCACCTAGGGTCAGGCCAACTGCAGCTCGGAGGCCTTGGTCCGGCCGGCTACGGACTACTACTTCCACTTCTACCGCCTGTGTGACTGAGCTGCCCTCTGCAAGGCAGCACCACACCAGGCCCTGGGGTCCCCTGGCACCCCTTCCACACTGGATGCCGTGGTGTTACACTGGAGCCAGCTGCCCACCGGCACTCCCTCGGAGAGTCTGAGCTGGGCTTGGCCCTCCCCTCGACTGGCGAAACTGGAAGTCCTCACACTGGAGCTGCTGATGCTGCTGGTTGCCCCCCGTACCCCCGAGGGAACTGGAGAGAGGCCTCCTGGGACCAGGACAGACCAGTTCACATGTGTCCTGATATGGTGCTTGGAGGGCTGGCTTCAGGTGGCCGGAGGCGAAGGGTAGCCTGGGACTCTGCCCAGAGCTTCCCTGCTTCCCTTTCTGAGGCTGGGAGGCAGCCCTTCTAGCCCTCGGAAAGGACCTGCCTGCCTTTGAGATCAGTGGGGGCTTGGATCGAGCCCTGAGACTTGGCTGGACCCACGCATCAGTGGAGGGCCGACAGTCCTCACCCTCGAAGCTGCTCCCTGGGAGGTGGCTAGATGGTGGACTTTTGGGGGTCTGACTGTTACGCTGGACTTGGACTTCAAAGTTTTAAGTGTGGTCCAGGAGGTCTCTTCTCCCTGGGAGAGCTTGGCTCCGAGCTCCCGGGGCAACTGAAGGCAGCCCTACGTGGGTTAGAGACTCACCACGTGCCTTACGTACACTGAGTGCTTGGCGGAACCAGTGGGACCAGCGGGCCAGGTAAGCCTTGGCCCCTTGAACCTGGAGTATCCTGGAAGGGGAGCTCCCTGGGGGCCTCCAGGAGGCGGTGCAGCCCCATGGCCTGGGCTCCTGGGGGCCGTCAGAGCTCTCAGTGTCGGTGACCCATCATTCTCTCAGAGCAGAGGAGCAGGAATCCCTGCGAGGCAGCGGGCCTACTTGGCTGGTGGGTGGATGAAAATAGCTTTTGCTGTTATTAATGAAGTAATTACTAAAATGCACTTAAACTGGGACAGGAGTGGAAGGGTAGAGATGGAAAGCCGAGTGGGCCAGAAGCCCTGGCGGGACGCTTGCAAAGACAGGGCCCTGGCTCTGATCTGTCCCCGGGAGACTTGAGACACCCATTCCACTCCCAACCACCAAGACTCTGGCCTCTCCGTCCACCCCTTGTCTGCTGGTGGTCTTGCCTCCCCAAATCAAGGGCTCCCATGCTGGGCTTGGACAGCCAAGCTGCAGGGACCCATGCCTGGCAGTAGGCCCCATCTCTGCCCACTCCTCCCAGGAGCAGAGCAGTGGGCTTGGGTTAGGGCAGAAGTCTATGTCAAGTGCCCACTTTCTTAGTGGGTGCCTGCAGTGTTCTGAGGCCACATCCCAGCCCATGGAAGGAGTGAGGAAATCATCATTTTTCCATGTCTGCTGTGGGTTCGGACATGGGGACAGGACTTGCCACCTGTCCTTGCCCTGTGATCGCTGGCCACTTCTTTGGGAACCAGGCCTTCTCTCCATCCTCATTTCCAGCTTTGAATAGGAGGACTCTTGGGGGGAGGGTGGGGGCGGGGAAGGGCTAGATCTTGAAGCCTGTGAACTGCAGGCCCCTTTCTGCCATGGATCTCAAAGCACTTATCCTCAGGATGGGGAGACACTGGGGGAGTGGGGGGCTAGCGGGGATATCTGGCCTCCCAGTCCCCTCCCCAAGGTGGCTCCACTCCCTTTCTGACATAGGAATGACATGGCTCCCTACACCATGCAGCCTTACTTAGTAGGACTTCTGTTCTCCCTCCTCCCACTGGGGGAACTTCCCTAAATGCCTTAAAACTGCCAAGCCCCACCCCTTATAATAGTATTCTGGGGCTTCCATAGTGGGGTGCCAGTTCTTAGCCGGCCACCCCTTAGTCCTTAACTGGAAAGTAACCCTCTACTGCCCCCTGGAGTCCATCTGGACACAGCATAGCCCCAATCTGGTTAGCAGCTGGCTGTTTCCATGGCTGGGGAGGGGGTCCTCAGCGCAGGGGTTGGGGCCAAGTGGGGGCTCCACGCTGCTCGAGCGGGGGGTGTGGGGGGGTCAACCTTGGACCAAAGTTGTTTTAAGCCCAATAAGGTGAAAGGGCAGCAGGGAAGGTGGATGGGCCACCTGCTGGAGGCTGACAGCTACCGGCTGGTGCTGGTCAGTGGGTGTTTTGGCCCCATGCCCTCCCCAGGATCCAGCAGCCGTCCCTCCCTTTCTGTCCCCAATGGCATTTATTCCTGTAGCCACTGGGCTCATCTCCCCCAAGCTTCAAGCTGTACATAGGGCCTCTCCATGCACAAGACCCCACTCATGTATCTCCCGCGAAAGCCTGCGTGTGCATAAAGCGCTCCTCCCCCCAGTTAACGCCCAGTTCCCGTCCCTGAGCTTTGACTCATATTTATCGTGCGCCAACTCTGACTCGAGTAGGCAAAGGGAAGCAGCCCTGGGCTTGCTTGCTTCCTGTCCCCTGAACTGTTCTTTTCCTCCGAGGTAAATATACGTATATAAATAAATGTATAAATACGGCTTTGTATCTGAGCTTGCCTCCTTGTCTCTTCTTGAGATTGTTCTGGTGGGAGATGGCGTCACTTGTGGGGCTAGGACCAACTGGAATCTCTGGGGCCCCTGAGCCAGACAGATGCCTTGTACCCCATTAGCCTGCTTAGCTTCACAGTAGGCTTAGGAACAGGGCTCAGCCGCCCCCTCCCCTAGCCGTACCCCACGGACCCACTGCTGCCCTACATGGGTGAAAAGTAGTCATCCTAACAAAAAGCCTTCTTAGGGAACACTGGGCCTTGCGAGGGTCAACCAGCCCATAGAAGGGTGGCTACATTTAGAGCAGGGGACTGACCCAGGGCAGTCATGATTGGTGTGGGTTCCTAGAGAAGTCTGCTCTGGAAACAACAGAAGAGGGTGGGCCTGCCTCTTCCTATCCACAGGTAAGCCTTCATTTCCAAGGACAAGACACCCCTCCTACACCCCCCTTGCCCCTCCTAAGTAGAGAGCAGGGCATCCAGCAGGAACCACCTGACAGGCAAAGGAGAAACGGGAAGGGCTGGGACTGGGGGAGTCAGGTAGGTCCCAGCACCATCCCCACCTCACAGAATGGGCACCAGACAGGATGGTCACACATCTGCCTTTATTGTGAGCAGCCAGTGGAACATTTCCAGAAATAGTTACAAAAATTAATTTACAAAAGTGGGAATTCGGTGAAGCTGCCTGGTTGGAACCTGCAAGAGAAGGGAATCAAAATGAGACCAATGATTCTTCTTTTCACCAACTTCCCTCATGGAACCCCTATGATCCTGGGGCAAGGGCTGACGGGCACACTCCTTGGAAACTAAGCCACTAGAGCCAATTCTGTGACCTGTTTGGTGGGTTATCTGCAGCAAGGTGGGTGTTTGGGTTTTTTTTGGCGGGGGGGGGGGCAGTGAGGAGAGGGGTTGGTTTGCTTTTTTATCACTTAGTCAAGATTTATTTCAATGCCTGAAAACGTTCAGACTAATCAAAATGCCGTGTAGCAAGTTTTAAGCCCCAGACCTTGAGCCCCTCTGGCCCACTCCCCAGCAGCGTCTCCAAGTCAATGGCGTATGATGTATTAAGAATGCAAATGCATAACCACGGGAGGCATGCATCCACAGCCCTACGTAGTACATCCCAAAGCCAGACTGAGGCCCTGGGCAGTGGGCACGGCTTAGGACTGACAAAGTAGGTCACAACTGGCTCAGTTGAGAACATTAGGAACAGGGCAAGAGGCACATGTGTCTGGTGTCCCCATCCATTCTGCTGAGTCTGTCTCCATTAACCAAGGGGTTGTGCAGGCCCAAGGACCCCACCTGCCCCACCTGTCACAGCGCTTACCCTTCGGAGCTCATACGTAGATGCCAACCCAGAGCAGCAAGAAGAGGACCCCAAAGCCCATGAAAAGCGAGGCCACCAAGGAGATGAGGAGCTCTTTGTAGATGTCGCGAGTGTACTTGGTGGAGGTGACCTCATAACTGGCAGGGTGGTCAAGGAGAAACAACAGATGGACTTCACAGAGCAGGAAGCCTGGCCAGGGCAGCTCTGGGGGAAAGGTACGGGCCACAGGCTTTCCGGGAAGCCTGTCTGGCTTGGTGCAGCCATGCAAAGGTGCCCAAGAGATGACCTGGCCTCTGGTGCGCCATACCACCCAGCAAGAAAATGAGACCCAGAGGGTTAGGTCACTTGCCCCAGGTAACACCGCTAATGCATGGTGGAGCTGGACTGTCCTCAGATGTCCTGACACCTGAGAGCACCCCTCCTTACACCACTTTCCCAACCTGCGATCTCCTAGCCCCAGCCTCCAGTCTAGCCAGGCCCTCTGCTTACTATCCCAGAAATCTGAAGAGTACACTGAGCTCGCCTGGACTTGGAAAATAAGGCCATAACCTGACCTTGGGTATCAATAGCCTTCCCTCAACCTCCTTACCTTCTTCCGTCCCCACACCAGAACAGAACTGGCAGGGTGCACTGTACCCAGCATGCTCTCTGATTCAGCTTCCCACATCATTAATTCTGGCCCACTGACTGCTCAGTCAAAGGATACACGAAGAACCAAGCGGTGAAGAACATGCCAATGGCCAACAGCACCACCGTCAGATGGGGAAAGACAGCAGGGTTTACCGGGCTGGTGTATCTGCTCATGGCCTCGAGCTCCTAGGGCAGGATATGAGATCAGAGCCATGAAAGAATCCCACAACTTCAACTGGGGGGGGGGGGGGTAGGGGCGCGCGACTATGGGGTTATCAAGGAGCCTCATGCTGCTGTGACTGCTAAAGGCCTGTTGCAGCTTGGGAAATATGGAAATTCTTCAGAACCAACATCAAGTGATTCAGTTTGGGAACGACAACAATTACATCTTAAAGTGGCATTTTGTCTTTTCGATATGAGACAAGCAGGGAGGCGGAGTCACGAGGCTGAGACATGGAAGGTGACTGATTAGCTGTAGATCAATGGGTCCTTAACATTTTTTGAGACCACGGACCGCTGTGAAAAAAAAAAACGTGATGAAAGGTATGGACTCTGCCTGGGAAAAACCGCATGTAAGAAAAAAGTCTGCCTATAATTTTAGGAGCTTCATGGACCCATGTCTGTGGACACTGGACCGGTACCCAGATCTCAAATTCGAATTCTGTATTTCTTCTCACGTAATTCTGTATCATGGCATCCCAGGATACACAGGGCAAGACATCAGTTAAAATTCTGGCTCTACTGAATAGCATGAATCTCAGTCAAGTACTTATAATACCTATCTCACAGGGTTGGTTTATGATATAAGAAAGATGACCAACGTCAAAGCATCTGGCTACTGCCTGGCATAAAGTAGTTGCTCAATAGGTGTTTGTTTCCTCCCCAAGGTTTAGGGGAGATTATGAGATAATGCCAGTGAAAGAGGGTTGTAAACATACAGTTCTGTACAAATGTTAACTTCCATTGTCACCCACCAGCCAACGCTTCTAAAATCCTGAACATAACAACTCTAGAGACGTAAATTGACCCCATTGTTCTAGGAGACACTGGAATGCAATTCAACAAACATTCATGCCCCCCCCCCTAAAATTTATGACAAAAACAATCGCTGCCATTTATTGAGCCTCCAATTGCAGGCCCTGTGGTTGGCACTGGGAATACAAAGATGAATAAACATCATCCCAAAGCTAGAGGCACGTCAGATGGTGGTCACCAGGAGGCGTGACAGATAACAAAGAAGTGCAGGACACGTGGCAAGAGGTCTGCGCAGAGGTTGTGGGAGCTCCCAGGAGAGAGCGGCAAAGTGTCTGAGACAGTTAGAAATGCTTCGCCAGGAAGGTAACTTTTGCCCAGGGCCTTGCAAGATAAGCACGAGTTCGGCAGAGGAAAGAACTTTCCAGATAGAACAGCCTGATCACGGGTAACAGAGATAAAAAGCTCCAAGATATTACAACTGCACCTCACGCCCCTCACCCTTAAAACTCGCGAGATCAAAACCTCAGCCTAAGGAGTCCATGGCAAGGGGCGACCCTTTCCCGCCCCTCAGCCCAAGCCGGAGGATACAGGAGCCTCCCGCTCTCTGAATCACTGGCGTCCGAGGCCTCTGCGAGAGAAACGGGGTGTGGAATGGACTCTGAGGGGTCCTCACAGCCTTGTTCAGAACGCCCCTCAACCCTCTCACCATTTTGCCGGGCGCTAGCTAATCCGCCGCTCCGCCACCGGAAGAACACGTCGGCAAGGAGCAGGCGCGCTGTTCAGCCGGGAGAGGACGTTCACCCGCGCAAGTGGCATTGTGGATCTTGTAGTCCTGTGGTTTGAGGTGTCGCGGGAGCTGGGGCCTGCGAGGACCTGGGATGGAGTACGGGAAGCGGTGAAAAGGGAGGTGTTGGGTCGCTGAGCGAGTCCGTTCACGCTGGACTGTTTGTCGTGAGAGAAGCTGGCCGAGGGAGCCGGGGCCTGCACTACACTTCCCAGGAGGCTGTGCGCGGCGGCGGGTCACGTGACGGGAGCGCGGGCTTTGGAAGGCGCGGAGCGAGCGGCGACCCGTGGTCGAGCTGAGGCGGGAGTGGGGCTGAGGACTGTCCAGCGTGACACCGGACCAAGCGGTAGCTGCCGAGGCCTCGCGCCTGTAAGGCCAGGTGAGACCCCATGGGAAGTGTCTCCGAGAGCGGCGGGGTCCGCTTTGCGCTGGAGGCTGTGGTGCAGCGGCTGCCGCTCGGGACGGAGGCGCCAGTGCGGTCCTGCCACTTTGCCGCTGTGGGACTTGGGCCCGTCTCATAACCTCCGAGCCTCTTTATTCATTTGTAGAAGGAGGAGAATGACTTGCACTTCATGGGGTCGTTGTGTATTTTGACTAAGATCCTGGATGAGAAAGTTTTAAACTTGTTTAGGCCCCTCGGTCGGATGCTGTGGCAGAATAACGGGCTAAGAACACATTGTCTTCTCAGTACACGTTCAAGCAAAGCAGCCAGCTTGAAGCATAAACCAGAGCTTCTTTTGTGGGTTCTGGGGTGGGGGGAACGTTTGCAGAGCACCTAGTGCGTGTCGGGAGTTTTTCAGCGATCACCTCCGGTAACCCTCACAGTAATTCTGCAAGACAGGCATGGTATTCCTCTTATAGATGAGAAAACCAAACGCCAATGGCTTAGTCGTATCACACACTAAGTGACAGTGATGCTACACAGATGGTAAATGCTGGTCCCTAGATTCAAGGCCCCAGACATTCACAGGGGAACCAAAACGAGGGGGACCTTGGAGAAGCGGCTTGAGGATGGCGGGTGGCGAGCACAGCAGAGCAAAAGTGAGCGGAGGCAGGCTTTATCCCAACATTTCCACCGGGTACCAGACTGGAAAGGTAGGGTGGGAACCAGCGCATAGAAGAACTTGACACCATGCTGAAGTGTTGGACTTAATTCGAGAAAGGACTGTAACAGGGTCATTGATGCTTTATTTAGAAAGAACCCTGTGAAGGAGGAGTAGGAACAATTAGAAAGCCTAGTACAATATTTCTTAGAGCGTCGGACACAGCATCAGTGGGTGCACGGTGACTTTAAGAGGCACCCGAAAAAATCCTTTTTAATAGTTACACATTTAACACATATTAACATATAACTGATATATTGCTTGAGATGAGCTCTCTCTTTCCACTTAGTTCTTTGTTTAAATGGTATCCATTTAAAGAAAATAGTAAATGAATTGAAAGTACAGGTTTTAGTTGGACGTGACAAAAAAGTGCGAGGGTGGCTTGGGCCTCACTGAAGTTTGGGGAGCACTGCCCTAGGAAATATTTGTTAAGGGGCCTGAACCACAGAAATGCAGCACTGGGCTGAGTGTCTAGATCAGGACATGGGGTGGGTAGGAGCCATGGAATTCACATTTCCCACTGAGTGGTGGGGCGAAAATACAAAGGGGAAGACTTAAAACACTAGCAATATCGTGGTAAAAGTAGGAACTCTTAAGTGCTGGGGGATCCTGAAGGGAGATTAATGCCATGTATGAGGAAGCCACATTACTCCCGTTCAAGGTGTTATTTTTGCCAGTCTCTCAAGGCTGCTATAACCAGTCAGTGTTCTTCAGAGAACTAGAACAAATAGGATATAGGAGACGCACACACACACACACACACACACACACACAAACATATCTAAAGAGGTTTATTTTAAGGAATTGGCTCAGGTGATTGTAGGGGTTGGCATGTTTGAAAATTGTAGGGCAGGTCGGCAGGCTGGAAACTCAGGCAGGAGTTGATGCTACGGTCTTCAGGCAGAATTTCTTCATGAAACCTGTTTTTTGCTCTTAAGGTCATTCAGATGGTTTGGATGAAGCCCACCCCCGTTATGGAGAGCAATCTCCTTTACGTAAAGTCAACTGGTTATAGTTGTTAGCCACATCTACAAAATAACTGTCACAGCAAAACCTGGATTAGTGTTTGATTAAATAATTGGATATTATAGCCTAACCAAGTTGACACATAAAACTAACCATCACAGCTGCTAAGAGGAGGCAGGCAGAGGAATGAGTTGGGGGTGTTCAGTGACTGGTACAAAGGCATAAAGGAGGAATGAACGTGTTGTTCACGAATTGGCAAGAAGATGGGTCCTCATGTTTATTTTACCACTTTACACAGTGAGCCATGTTTTATGGTTGTTTTTATAACTGTCTCATCTCACCTTCATTGTCTAACCAGTATTTGCCTGCCCCGTCAGGACTCAATTCTGCCTTTATGATCCCTGGACTCCTCAAGTTGAACCAGGCACTCTGGATTTGTGTGCTCCTTGATGCGGACATCTACTGTAGCCTTTTTTTTTTTTTTTCAAAGATTTTTATTGGGGAATTGGGAAAGGGGAATAGACAAGTTGCTGTCCTTTTGTTCTTTAGTTGTGGAGGACGTTGTTGCACTGGCTCAAGTTGGCACCATCATTGCGCTCTTCCCGGGCGAGGCAGATCAGTTGCTGGTTTCTGGTCGGCCGCTCAGGGCGGCTGCTGGCCGCTCACGCTGGCTACTGGCTACACATGGTAGCCCATGGCAACCCACCACAGCAGTGGCTGCCGTTGCCAGCGACTCACGGCAGCCCAGCTCCAGGTTGAGCCGTTGTTCAGCATCTTAGCTGTAGAGGGCAGTGTCACTGGCCCTCATATGTGGGATCCAAACCGGGGCCCTCTGGCATCCCAAGCCAGCTCTTAACCATCGCGCCACTCGGCCGGCCCTACTATAGCCTTTATTGCATGCTAGCTCTACTGCTGCCTTACTACAAAATTTTAAGTCCCTCAAGGACATAATAGTGCCTTACTCCTCTTAGCATCCAGTTTATTTCCTGATTCTTGGGAAGCCTTAGTATTACTTGAGTGGACTTCCTTGCTAGACCAACTTTCTTGACAGTGGAAACTTTGTCTTGTTCATTTTTTCATCTTCTGCTGTGCTGGCTTGGTGTTCTTTTTATTGTGCTCAGTTTGTTTACCTGAAGGCATGAAGTTGTAAGATAGCACCAGTTATAACCCTTACTCTTTTTGCACCCTTAAGATCCTCCCTGTCTTAACTTGCCTTTCTTTTTCAGCTGTCCCTCTGTATTGCTATGGGTATTCAAGGCCTGGCCAAACTGATTGCTGATGTGGCCCCCAGTGCCATCCGGGAAAATGACATCAAGAGCTACTTTGGCCGCAAGGTGGCCATCGATGCCTCCATGAGCATTTATCAGTTCCTGATTGCTGTTCGCCAGGGTGGGGATGTGCTGCAGAATGAGGAGGGGGAGACCACCAGCCACCTGATGGGCATGTTCTACCGTACCATCCGCATGATGGAGAATGGCATCAAGCCCGTGTATATCTTTGATGGCAAGCCCCCACAGCTCAAGTCAGGTGAGCTGGCCAAACGCAGTGAGCGACGGGCTGAGGCGGAGAAGCAGCTGGAGCAGGCTCAGGCTGCTGGGACTGAGGAGGACGTGGAGAAGTTTACTAAGCGACTGGTGAAGGTCACCAAGCAACACAATGATGAGTGCAAGCATCTACTGAGCCTCATGGGCATCCCGTACCTCGATGCACCCAGTGAGGCCGAGGCCAGCTGTGCAGCCCTGGTGAAGGCTGGCAAAGTCTATGCTGCAGCCACGGAGGACATGGATTGTCTGACCTTTGGCAGCCCTGTGCTAATGCGGCACCTGACTGCCAGTGAGGCCAAGAAGCTGCCCATCCAGGAATTCCACCTGAGCCGGATTCTGCAGGAGCTGGGCCTGAACCAGGAGCAGTTTGTAGACCTGTGCATCCTACTGGGCAGTGACTACTGTGAGAGTATTCGGGGCATTGGGCCCAAGCGGGCTGTGGACCTCATCCAGAAGCACAAGAGCATCGAGGAGATTGTGCGTCGACTTGACCCCAACAAGTACCCCGTGCCAGAAAATTGGCTGCACAAGGAGGCTCAGCAGCTCTTCCTGGAGCCTGAGGTGCTGGACCCAGAGTCTGTGGAGCTGAAGTGGAGTGAGCCAAATGAAGAAGAGCTCGTCAAGTTCATGTGTGGTGAAAAGCAGTTCTCTGAGGAACGAATCCGCAGTGGGGTCAAGCGGCTGAGCAAGAGCCGCCAGGGCAGCACCCAAGGCCGCCTGGATGATTTCTTCAAGGTGACTGGCTCTCTCTCTTCAGCTAAGCGCAAGGAGCCAGAACCCCCCAAGGGATCTGCTAAGAAGGCAAAAACTGGGGCAGCAGGGAAATTTAAAAGGAGAAAATAAACGATTTTCCCTTCATTATACCTCCTTGACCCAAGAGTATCTGCCTTGTACCCTCAAGAGCTAGTGCTTGAGAAACCTCCAGGGGGGGCAGTGAAGGGATTGCTTGCATTGCTTCTGTAGCGTTACCCTTCTCAGTAGTGCTTTTCCCTTTTTTACTTGATCTTATGGCAGGAAAGACACAGAGGTTCATTCTTTTTTTAGCTCAGGAAAGCATGTCAGGCTCAAACCACCTTTCAATTTAATGGACACTGAATCCATTGTTACATAAAAGTGATAGCAACAAGTTTTGAAGAAGATAGGAGATAAATGGTGGAGACAAATGACTATACGGAAATGATTTCCTGGCTAGCCAACTGGTGGCCGGTGATGGTGAGCCAGACTGCACTTCTCTGGTTCATCCTTGACCCACCCTGAGGGACAGCCAGCAGGAAGACCCAGTCTTAACAGATAGGAAGAGCTACTGAGAAATAACAGGCGGAAAGTGGAGTCAGCAACAGGGGTTTGATTACTGACTGTCCTGGGGTGGGCTGAAACTTGAACTCACTGTGTAACTTGAGTCTTTACAGTGGTTATTCAGAGGCATAAGGTGGCGAAGTTCTCATGGCCTCTTTCAGGCAATTAACTGAGTTGAGATTTTGGGATAAGAAACTGTTGTCATGTACTGTTTTTGTTTTAAAGGTATGAGAAAAGAGTCAATAAAATTATAAAAGTAACCAGAATGGCACGTTCTTTGAAAACGATCTCGGGTACCCCAGGCTTCAGGCAGAATGTAATGTTCTCTTAACTCCAAGGTAACATGCTGGAATTGTACTCTATTAATGTGGTTTGAGAGTGGCCACAAGATGGCGCCATGCCCCCATAGAATGGCCAAAGCAGCGGTGGTACTTCAGCCATTTGCAGGAAGATGCCTTGATCATCTTGCTAGGAAAGTAGTTTTAATAAATTGAGTCTGGTTCCAGTTTCCCACCTGCAATGTGAGATAAAGGAATTCCTTTGAGAAAGCCTCACAATGTAGCTCAACTACTACATACATCCAAGCATTTACCAGTTTGTAAATTGTGAAAGCTGCCATTAAAAAATCACTTCCTTGTTCCTTTTGTGACTAAATTCAGGTTGCTGTTTCTCATAGAGATGGTATATTTTTGGTTTTTTTGGATTTTTTTTAGCTGAGCCATCCTGCCACCTGTTGGCAGCTCAGCAGCTGCTCAGCTTGGGCCGGGACTTGAACCGCTATTGCTCAGAGCTCAAACTCTTGAGCAAGCTCTTAACCAACTGAGCCACTCGGCTGACCCCTTTTTTCTTTTTTTTAGCTGAGCCATTAGAGATGGTATATTTTTGTACTTTGAATGTTTTATGGTCCTGATAAAACTTGGTAGGGAGCTGTCCTGTTTTGAGTTTCCAATTTTTTTAGCCTTCCTATCTCTGCCATTTGAAGTTAACAAAGACATTTAAACAAGCAGTCTGCAATTTAACTTGATGTTTTGACAGATTAAGCAGGTAGAAAACCAAAGACCAGTGGTTTTTGAAATTTTTAATGGAGCAGTCTATTTTTCCAATGAAATATTATGTGGAATCTCAGAATATAAGCCCTCCTCTGCTTGAGGCACAGATGGGTAAGTGTCCCTAGCATCATCTTCCTAACTGGGAGACTCTGGATACTACTGGTATAGACAAAGTTCCAGGCTGAGGGCAGGGATCTTAGTTTTGTTCATTGCTTTCTCCAGCACTTAAAAGTTTTTCTCAAATTGAGCCAAGCCACACACTTTGAGATCCATTTTCTGATGCAAGTAATTTGCAGTAATGGTGATGGGTTCCAGAGGTGGTAAGACTTCTTTGGAGTTATCACCTCAGTGCAATAGCTCTAGGTAAGGGCTTGTACCCTGTGGTAGACAAGCATGTAGAGTGGTTTGTTTTCCTCTTGCTTTTTGAAGTCAAGTTGCCTAGTCTCTTCTAGGTGTTTAACCACGACACACTGCAGGAAAAATCAATTCTGCAAATTTTTATTTAGCATGTTCTAACCTTGCTCAAAGATTGCTGTTCTAATAGGATGGAGGTCAAAAAGGCATGGCTTTACGTAGCTCAGCTCAAAGGCGTTGTGCCTGCAGAGAAAAATTTAGGCAAAAAGACTTATGGAAACTATTCATATGGAGACTAGAAATGAGTTAAAAAAGGGCGGAGATATTGCCTCATGATAGGAGGAAGCAATGCACATAAAACCTGGCTAGTGTATTGAGCAATTCATTATTGGAACATGCGGGTGTCATGGAAAGGAGTTGGCTTTTCCTTGCCATAATCCACCTGTGCGTTGGTGCCTTCCAGGCCTTGATGTTCCTTCCTCTTCCCAACGGGCTTGTTTACACAAAGCGGATGCTGTGCAGGGAGGGACTTATGTTCAGAAAGAATAGTTAGAGCTGTAGAAGTGGATGGTAACATAGCAGAGGCATACAGAGTCCTGCTGACAGTGTGCAGAAGGGCGTTGGATTACAAGTGAATCACCTTCGTTTGGTCAAACTTCACTTTATTTCTAAACTTCATTGGAATGTAACAAAATTGGCACATACACAAAGGATACTGATATTGGGCCTAATTAAAGAAAATGCCTCCGGATAAGTGGTAGGAAGATGAAAGTAACTAAGACAAACATAGAAGCTGGTGTTTTTAGAAAGTGAGTTCAAATGTTAGTTCTTCCACAATCTGTGACTGGATGTGACTTGTCCTGTCTAAGCCTGTTTTCTCATCTGTCGTTGGATTTGAGATCACTTACGTTACCACTTTAATAGTCTGAACCTTTTATCACTGGTAATGTCCCATTTTGGCCATGTGAGACCACACTGGTCTAGGCCAAGGAGAGAAGGCCACAGTGTTTGAGGTGCTTTGAGGATCTGGACTTGGCTCAATAAGCTTCACTTGGTGTGCTCAGATTGGGCAGCCTCGGCCCAAAGCCAGATGGCTTGACAGGCTGGTGACACCACACCTAAACCTTAGGTAGCAGGGAACAGGGATAGGGAAGGATCAGCGCCTATTCTGGAGTGAGGAACCCAATGAAAATAGAGCTCTTCAATTCTGCTACTAATTTTTCTACCCAGGCTGTTTTAAACTAGGTTCTTCCCAAATGGAAAAGATCTCAACTCTTCTGCAACCTGTTCTCCCTCATCTGTTTTTAAAATCGTTTTGTCTTTGTTTTGACAAACTGCTAAGAAATCAAGACAGCCTTCCCATGGGGGGGGTGCCTCTAGGACCTTCATCTCCCTGATTGCCATTCTCCCAAAACTAAATGCAAACTCGCCCAGAGCTGTGCTTTGTCTTCCAAATGTCCCAAATGCTCAATATACTTAACAGCAGATGCTGCTGAGCAGGCGAATAATCCCCTCACCTGAACTGAAAGGCTGTGGGTGTAGGGGGAGGGGGTGAACGCTGATGACAAGCTCTGGTGTTAAGGTGAGACTCCTGGGGCACATTCCTATGTTTGTTCTCTAGAGATGGGTTAAACTGTTTTTATCTTTTAAAAACCAGGAAATTTAAAAATTGCATTTTAATATTAGACTGCTATGCTCAAGAGATGATCCTAAATTCCTACCTGGACTCCAGCAGAGAAAGACACTTGAACAGAGTTGACAGTGTAAGAAGCCTAATGACAGCAACAATGATCACAAACTTCTGTGTTTTTATCTTCCTATTTCTGGTTTAGAACTAAAATGGTTACATTTAACCACACTGCTCCTGCTCAGAAGTAATGCTATAACATAATCTAGGTTACAGAAAATTTCTTACAGCTCTTATATTCTTTACGACTGAAACTTGTGTTTTCCTCATTGCTAATTTAGTATCTCCCAGCTTGGTCACTTGTGCTCACTGACAGCTATTGTATTAAACTTGGAATTATAGGTAGGGAAGCAAAGAGAAACCATGAGGAGCCCTCATTTGTTTCTAGGGAGGAGATTAAGTTGCCCCATCTGCTCACTTGCTTATGGAGCAAGTGGACTCCCTATCTGAGGAGTATTTTGTTCCTTAGGTACTGGTTAGAAGAGGTAAATCAAAAGCTGAACTGATTTTTAATGGCCAACAACTCTCCATTAGCCATTTTGGCAAGACCTAGGACCTAATGCTTCCTTGGTACCCTGGATGGAACATGAGACCAAAATCAGTAGTGGCAGGATCCTTTAGGGCCGGCCAGATGTCTCTGACACCACAGTCTGGCCTCTGCCCTGCCTTCTTCGCAAAGGAGAAATTCCTTCTCCAGGAGCCTGAGGCAGACATAAGTCACCTAGCCCTAGAGTGAGCTGGGCTCCCAGGCCTCAGAATTCTAAACACTAATGCTTCCTTTCTAAACTTTGCTCAAAAGGTTAAGCTGCTCCATCTCCCTCCAGGCTGCGAACCTCTGAGGTTTGTAGGTGAGGGTGGAAAGGCACTGAGAAGTGGATCCGTAAGATGAGCTCACCCCTTTCCTGGGTGGAATTTTAGTGCGAAATCTCTTCCTGATTGCTGGGCTTAGTAGGTTTCCCTATTCTTCTAACACCCTCCTGACTCCCTCTTTGCTCATCAACCATTTGCATCTGACAAACTAGAAAAAGGAAACAAAACTCATATCCCTGCCCCAATAGCTCCATCCCTTCTAGGGGGCCTGCATGTTCCCCCAACCTCTTTGGGTCATAAATCTGCCTAGAAGATAAAGGGAAAGGGTTTGAGCCAAGCCTTTATCTCCTCAAACACAATCTCTGAATTTTAGAATTGTAGTGGCATTGCCCTCAAGTGCCCTTTTGCTTTGGCTCCAGAGGCTCCTCTTCCAGATGGGCTGTTGTTATTGGTGAAGATAGGCATCTAGCCAGAGTTGCCCGGACTCCTTCAATGAGCTGCGGGGACAAGATGGAAGCAGGCAGTGAGAGACGGGGTGGAACCGAGCCCCAAAGCCAAGCCACCCACCAGTAGTGTAGTGCTGGAGCTCTTACAGAGGTATGCAGGCCCAGCTCTGGGACATAAGGCCCCCTTCATGTGAATGCTTCCTGTCCCTTTCCTGAGAAAGAGCTTGGGCCATGGCGCTGACAGAAAAGGACTGACCTGGCCACGAGACCAATAGAGCTCCCTGCCTTTGCCTTGCTGACCTCCATTCCAGACGACTGGGGAAACCTTCCTATTGCTCCGACCCCATACTTCACCACCAACCCCAATGCCCCACCCTCTTCCTGCCCTACCAATCATCTTCCCAGGCTCAGATACTCACTGAACAATGTCGGCGAAGGCTGAGAACAGGGGCTTGGACTGGTACGCTATGCCATGTTTGGCACACAGGGACTGCACCAGGGGAGCCACTTTGTGGTAATTGTGTCGAGGCATTGTGGGGAAGAGACTTTAGGGAGAACAGGGGAAAGTCAGTGGCTCCTCCTCCTCTGCTCCCACCCACCTCCCGCACACATGGACCCTCCTCCAGACCCTGCTTCCCAGGTCTCCCTACTCACTGGTGCTCAATCTGGAAGTTGAGGTGTCCACTGAACCAGTCATTGAAGGCGGACTTGTGGACGTTGCATGTTGCCTGGAGCTGGAGGAAGGTCAGGGAGAGAGCAAGGCTCTGGGAACCAGATGGAAAGGCCAGGCCAGCCCTCTCCAGGCAAAGCTGTTTGAGAGGACGGGCTACGGGACTGTCCCTGGTCACTCCCTTCTCCACATGGTGGCAGGAAACTTCAAGCTAATGAATGATGCAATACTGCTGGGGACTTCTGTTGTTACTGCCCTTCCCCACCTGCCCTGCGTTTCTGCCTACCCACCCCTTTTCTTAGTTGTGTTAGGTGACTGACTGTCCCTTACCTGGGTGGAGACCCAGTCCACGTTCTGGTCGTAATCGATGTGCATGGGAATATGGTTCATCTGTGTCACCCACACAAACCAGTTGCTTTCCAAGAACCTAGTGGATATGGCACACAGACAGAAACAGTACAAGCAGAGTCGAGTTCTCACCCTCCCTCAGGTAATTGCTCCAGCCTGGCCACCTTCCCAAGTCAACACCTGAAACGCCCTCTGCTACCCGAAGCCCCAGCACAGTCCCTGGGCCAGACTCGTTACTCCCAAACATCTGCCTTTCTTCACCAATCCCTCCTGCCCCATCAAGTACCTGACCATAAAGAAAAGGCCCAGGAGGCCCTTCACTCCCAACAGTGGCACATAAGTGAGGAAGATGCGGATGTAGAAGGTGANCGGGACTTGAACCGCTATTGCTCAAACTCTTGAGCAAGCTCTTAACCAACTAAGCCACTCGGCTGACCCCTTTTTTCTTTTTTTTAGCTGAGCCATTAGAGATGGTATATTTTTGTACTTTGAATGTTTTATGGTCCTGATAAAACTTGGTAGGGAGCTGTCCTGTTTTGAGTTTCCAATTTTTTTAGCCTTCCTATCTCTGCCATTTGAAGTTAACAAAGACATTTAAACAAGCAGTCTGCAATTTAACTTGATGTTTTGACAGATTAAGCAGGTAGAAAACCAAAGACCAGTGGTTTTTGAAATTTTTAATGGAGCAGTCTATTTTTCCAATGAAATATTATGTGGAATCTCAGAATATAAGCCCTCCTCTGCTTGAGGCACAGATGGGTAAGTGTCCCTAGCATCATCTTCCTAACTGGGAGACTCTGGATACTACTGGTATAGACAAAGTTCCAGGCTGAGGGCAGGGATCTTAGTTTTGTTCATTGCTTTCTCCAGCACTTAAAAGTTTTTCTCAAATTGAGCCAAGCCACACACTTTGAGATCCATTTTCTGATGCAAGTAATTTGCAGTAATGGTGATGGGTTCCAGAGGTGGTAAGACTTCTTTGGAGTTATCACCTCAGTGCAATAGCTCTAGGTAAGGGCTTGTACCCTGTGGTAGACAAGCATGTAGAGTGGTTTGTTTTCCTCTTGCTTTTTGAAGTCAAGTTGCCTAGTCTCTTCTAGGTGTTTAACCACGACACACTGCAGGAAAAATCAATTCTGCAAATTTTTATTTAGCATGTTCTAACCTTGCTCAAAGATTGCTGTTCTAATAGGATGGAGGTCAAAAAGGCATGGCTTTACGAAGCTCAGCTCAAAGGCGTTGTGCCTGCAGAGAAAAATTTAGGCAAAAAGACTTATGGAAACTATTCATATGGAGACTAGAAATGAGTTAAAAAAGGGCGGAGATATTGCCTCATGATAGGAGGAAGCAATGCACATAAAACCTGGCTAGTGTATTGAGCAATTCATTATTGGAACATGCGGGTGTCATGGAAAGGAGTTGGCTTTTCCTTGCCATAATCCACCTGTGCGTTGGTGCCTTCCAGGTCTTGATGTTCCTTCCTCTTCCCAACGGGCTTGTTTACACAAAGCGGATGCTGTGCAGGGAGGGACTTATGTTCAGAAAGAATAGTTAGAGCTGTAGAAGTGGATGGTAACATAGCAGAGGCATACGGAGTCCTGCTGACAGTGTGCAGAAGGGCGTTGGATTACAAGTGAATCACCTTCGTTTGGTCAAACTTCACTTTATTTCTAAACTTCATTGGAATGTAACAAAATTGGCACATACACAAAGGATACTGATATTGGGCCTAATTAAAGAAAATGCCTCCGGATAAGTGGTAGGAAGATGAAAGTAACTAAGACAAACATAGAAGCTGGTGTTTTTAGAAAGTGAGTTCAAATGTTAGTTCTTCCACAATCTGTGACTGGATGTGACTTGTCCTGTCTAAGCCTGTTTTCTCATCTGTCGTTGGATTTGAGATCACTTACGTTACCACTTTAATAGTCTGAACCTTTTATCACTGGTAATGTCCCATTTTGGCCATGTGAGACCACACTGGTCTAGGCCAAGGAGAGAAGGCCACAGTGTTTGAGGTGCTTTGAGGATCTGGACTTGGCTCAATAAGCTTCACTTGGTGTGCTCAGATTGGGCAGCCTCGGCCCAAAGCCAGATGGCTTGACAGGCTGGTGACACCACACCTAAACCTTAGGTAGCAGGGAACAGGGATAGGGAAGGATCAGCGCCTATTCTGGAGTGAGGAACCCAATGAAAATAGAGCTCTTCAATTCTGCTACTAATTTTTCTACCCAGGCTGTTTTAAACCAGGTTCTTCCCAAATGGAAAAGATCTCAACTCTTCTGCAACCTGTTCTCCCTCATCTGTTTTTAAAATCGTTTTGTCTTTGTTTTGACAAACTGCTAAGAAATCAAGACAGCCTTCCCATGGGGGGGGTGCCTCTAGGACCTTCATCTCCCTGATTGCCATTCTCCCAAAACTAAATGCAAACTCGCCCAGAGCTGTGCTTTGTCTTCCAAATGTCCCAAATGCTCAATATACTTAACAGCAGATGCTGCTGAGCAGGCGAATAATCCCCTCACCTGAACTGAAAGGCTGTGGGTGTAGGGGGAGGGGGTGAACGCTGATGACAAGCTCTGGTGTTAAGGTGAGACTCCTGGGGCACATTCCTATGTTTGTTCTTTAGAGATGGGTTAAACTGTTTTTATCTTTTAAAAACCAGGAAATTTAAAAATTGCATTTTAATATTAGACTGCTATGCTCAAGAGATGATCCTAAATTCCTACCTGGACTCCAGCAGAGAAAGACACTTGAACAGAGTTGACAGTGTAAGAAGCCTAATGACAGCAACAATGATCACAAACTTCTGTGTTTTTATCTTCCTATTTCTGGTTTAGAACTAAAATGGTTACATTTAACCACACTGCTCCTGCTCAGAAGTAATGCTATAACATAATCTAGGTTACAGAAAATTTCTTACAGCTCTTATATTCTTTACGACTGAAACTTGTGTTTTCCTCATTGCTAATTTAGTATCTCCCAGCTTGGTCACTTGTGCTCACTGACAGCTATTGTATTAAACTTGGAATTATAGGTAGGGAAGCAAAGAGAAACCATGAGGAGCCCTCATTTGTTTCTAGGGAGGAGATTAAGTTGCCCCATCTGCTCACTTGCTTATGGAGCAAGTGGACTCCCTATCTGAGGAGTATTTTGTTCCTTAGGTACTGGTTAGAAGAGGTAAATCAAAAGCTGAACTGATTTTTAATGGCCAACAACTCTCCATTAGCCATTTTGGCAAGACCTAGGACCTAATGCTTCCTTGGTACCCTGGATGGAACATGAGACCAAAATCAGTAGTGGCAGGATCCTTTAGGGCCGGCCAGATGTCTCTGACACCACAGTCTGGCCTCTGCCCTGCCTTCTTCGCAAAGGAGAAATTCCTTCTCCAGGAGCCTGAGGCAGACATAAGTCACCTAGCCCTAGAGTGAGCTGGGCTCCCAGGCCTCAGAATTCTAAACACTAATGCTTCCTTTCTAAACTTTGCTCAAAAGGTTAAGCTGCTCCATCTCCCTCCAGGCTGCGAACCTCTGAGGTTTGTAGGTGAGGGTGGAAAGGCACTGAGAAGTGGATCCGTAAGATGAGCTCACCCCTTTCCTGGGTGGAATTTTAGTGCGAAATCTCTTCCTGATTGCTGGGCTTAGTAGGTTTCCCTATTCTTCTAACACCCTCCTGACTCCCTCTTTGCTCATCAACCATTTGCATCTGACAAACTAGAAAAAGGAAACAAAACTCATATCCCTGCCCCAATAGCTCCATCCCTTCTAGGGGGCCTGCATGTTCCCCCAACCTCTTTGGGTCATAAATCTGCCTAGAAGATAAAGGGAAAGGGTTTGAGCCAAGCCTTTATCTCCTCAAACACAATCTCTGAATTTTAGAATTGTAGTGGCATTGCCCTCAAGTGCCCTTTTGCTTTGGCTCCAGAGGCTCCTCTTCCAGATGGGCTGTTGTTATTGGTGAAGATAGGCATCTAGCCAGAGTTGCCCGGACTCCTTCAATGAGCTGCGGGGACAAGATGGAAGCAGGCAGTGAGAGACGGGGTGGAACCGAGCCCCAAAGCCAAGCCACCCACCAGTAGTGTAGTGCTGGAGCTCTTACAGAGGTATGCAGGCCCAGCTCTGGGACATAAGGCCCCCTTCATGTGAATGCTTCCTGTCCCTTTCCTGAGAAAGAGCTTGGGCCATGGCGCTGACAGAAAAGGACTGACCTGGCCACGAGACCAATAGAGCTCCCTGCCTTTGCCTTGCTGACCTCCATTCCAGACGACTGGGGAAACCTTCCTATTGCTCCGACCCCATACTTCACCACCAACCCCAATGCCCCACCCTCTTCCTGCCCTACCAATCATCTTCCCAGGCTCAGATACTCACTGAACAATGTCGGCGAAGGCTGAGAACAGGGGCTTGGACTGGTACGCTATGCCATGTTTGGCACACAGGGACTGCACCAGGGGAGCCACTTTGTGGTAATTGTGTCGAGGCATTGTGGGGAAGAGACTTTAGGGAGAACAGGGGAAAGTCAGTGGCTCCTCCTCCTCTGCTCCCACCCACCTCCCGCACACATGGACCCTCCTCCAGACCCTGCTTCCCAGGTCTCCCTACTCACTGGTGCTCAATCTGGAAGTTGAGGTGTCCACTGAACCAGTCATTGAAGGCGGACTTGTGGACGTTGCATGTTGCCTGGAGCTGGAGGAAGGTCAGGGAGAGAGCAAGGCTCTGGGAACCAGATGGAAAGGCCAGGCCAGCCCTCTCCAGGCAAAGCTGTTTGAGAGGACGGGCTATAGGACTGTCCCTGGTCACTCCCTTCTCCACATGGTGGCAGGAAACTTCAAGCTAATGAATGATGCAATACTGCTGGGGACTTCTGTTGTTACTGCCCTTCCCCACCTGCCCTGCGTTTCTGCCTACCCACCCCTTTTCTTAGTTGTGTTAGGTGACTGACTGTCCCTTACCTGGGTGGAGACCCAGTCCACGTTCTGGTCGTAATCGATGTGCATGGGAATATGGTTCATCTGTGTCACCCACACAAACCAGTTGCTTTCCAAGAACCTAGTGGATATGGCACACAGACAGAAACAGTACAAGCAGAGTCGAGTTCTCACCCTCCCTCAGGTAATTGCTCCAGCCTGGCCACCTTCCCAAGTCAACACCTGAAACGCCCTCTGCTACCCGAAGCCCCAGCACAGTCCCTGGGCCAGACTCGTTACTCCCAAACATCTGCCTTTCTTCACCAATCCCTCCTGCCCCATCAAGTACCTGACCATAAAGAAAAGGCCCAGGAGGCCCTTCACTCCCAACAGTGGCACATAAGTGAGGAAGATGCGGATGTAGAAGGTGATCATCCAGGCCAGGTCCTGCAGTGAGAAGCAGAGAACATTATGACTGGCAAAAGCACCGGCCTCTTCCTCTTCCTCTCACTTAAACTATTTCTTTGCATGGTGTCGCCATTCTCACAGGCACCCAGACTGGAACACAGCCACAGTCAGCGTCTCTTCTCAGTGGCCCAGTCCTAAAATATCTAGTGCCACTGCTCCTTCCTTCTGTTCCTAGTGATCCCCCCAGCCCTCCTGGCCTGTTTCCTTCCCAGGCGCCAAGGCCTCCAGGCTCTCCCTGCCTCCGGCCCCTCCCAACCCATAGAAATCCTTCATTCCTCCATCATGCTGCCAGATGACTCTCCCAGCACCATGGCTCAGTGCGTGCCAATAAGCACCCTGACCAAACCTCCAATCACTTCTGCACCACGCTCCTCTTCTGACACGAGAGTCCTCCACAAACTGTCCAGTGGACAAATACCCCTCAGTGCCCAGCCTCTCTGCTCAGAGTCCATCCTCCCTCCACCCCACCTCTGCCTGTCCTCCAAGGCTAGCTAGAAAAGTGACTTCACAAAGACTTTCCTGAAGCCTCTCGTTCTGGAATCCCAGAACCTTCGGCCTGTACCTCTTCTCTGGTGTAAACCACACCCTGCTTCATCAGAAGTTTCCTGAGAGCAGGCGCTGTCCCTTACTCCTTTTCCACACTCCCCAACCTGGCCCTGGCTTTATGCCCAGCACAAAACTCAGGAGATACTGCTGAATGAAATAGGGCATTGGGCGTCAGGTTGTCTGCTGAGCTCAAATCATCCCACCTAGAGACAAGGCAGGTCTATACCTGGTTCTACTACTTTGCTCTAAATTAGGCCTGGAACAAACCACAGTGGGATTTCCCCCAGAGAGTCCTTTACCCTCCCTCAGGGTAATGGAGACAAAGGATGTGGGCTTCTTGGGTCATGGATACTCACCACCCACTTCTTCCGCTGGATAACAAAATAGAAAATATACCACTGGAAGTAAAGAGGCAGCAAGGCTGGGGGTCCAACTAGGGAGGGAATGGAGAGAAGGAGGAGGTGAGAGTAGCATGACGGTTACTAAAGGGCTGGTTAGTGCTGGAAGGATGGCCTCCAGCATCTCTGCCATTTCCTCCTGCCCCTCCAGCTGCCTTGGCACTCCTTAAGCCACTGTAACTGGCAGGCACTGAAGGTGGGCATGAATGCAAGTCTGAAGAAGGCAAAATCTCCCAAGAGGACGGCAGGAGGGTGAAGGGTGGGGGTGGCATTCTTTTCTAGTGGAAGAGGGCAGCTGGGGAAATTCAAGTTCCACGAATGAAACTTGCGAGCTCTCATGCCTTTAAAAGGGCACTGCTAGTACTCCCCAAGTTGCCCTGGCCACAGCCCTGCCCCTGCCCGGGGCCTTCCTACTGCCCTTACACCTGTCCTTGCAGCATCTGTCCTGTGTTCCTGGCTGCTTGTAAAGGGACAGGAGCAGGAAAGTTTGTGTGTGTGTTAGGGGAATGGGGCAGGGGACGGAGGGACAAGACCCTGCTGATCCTTCATGGGCTGTAAGCTTACTTCCTTGGACTAGGAAAATGAGCTTGTGCCATCCAACCTCAAGCCCCAGAGGTCAGCTGTGGGAAGGGGCTGAGTGGTTTTTCTTAACACTGGGAATCGAAGTAGATCCCGTCCTACGTGCTATCCCCTTTCCTTTTCTGTATCCCTTCTCTGCATGGCCCTGATGCTACCTATAACCTCCCGCATTACAATGCCCACTATGGCTCCTCTATCCTGAGATGCCATGCATTCTAACATTCTTTCTTCTGAATGGTTCTGCTCCAGCCTCTACCCTATCACCTTTTCTCCAGTAGGGATGGTTGGTAAAAGGCAGTTAGGATACATTCCTTTGAACTAAAACAGGATCAATGGAATCATCCCCTCCTTTTCTTTAAAATTTTGAATTTTTAAAGGAGTTTTAAAACTTAAATTTTTAAGCATTATGGAACAGATTTTTAAAGCAAGGAACATATAGCAGTCTTCATTATAAACTTAAGACAACTACAGAAATGTTTTCTCCTTTTTCCAATAGCTCCTACACTCCCTCTTTGAGTCCAATCTTCCCATAGCTACATCTACCTCTGTCTCGCTGGGGGTTGGACTGCACCCCACTGGGTCACCTTGACCCAGGTCTCTGTTTGACACATTATAAGGTGAGGTTTAAGGCCCCACACTACCACTCAGTTCTTTTGTGGAAGCCAGGGTGAGACTGGAGGAACTAGTTTGTTTCCAATACAAATGACCTTTGACCGAACGTTAGCCTAACTGTTGACTTGGCTGAGATGGTAGATTGCTCCCATGCAGGGAGTAACCTGTTGGGAGTGGCGTACTTCCTCTCACCTTTACCTAAAATACTATCATGTTTTTGAGAGTCATTTCCTCCTTAGTCCTTTCAGCCCCCCCTTCCTTGTGTTGGATGGGGACACTCACTCAAGAAGAAGTATTTGTGCTGGTGGTTGTATGGCATGTACTTTTTCTTCTGTTTCCCAAGCTGTGAAGAAAAGCAAACACAAATCAGCACCCACTGACCAGTCACCCATCCCCTCCTTCTCTGACCTTGACTGTTCCCTGCTTAGGAATTTAGGCCTATTCTAGGGACCATCAGCTTGTTGATGTTACTGGAAGGCTCCAGCAGACCCAGCCTTAACTCCAGCACCTGGCACATGAAGCCCTGGGCTTCGCTCTGCTAAGCGTGCCACACCATGGCACGCAGCTAAATGGCCCATGCCCACATGAGGCACATACACAATGGTGTCTTCAAGTCCTCAGCACTCCTCACGTTTATCCAAAGATACCTTTGTCCTACAGTATCTGGGCCCCTCCATCTTCTCCCCCTCCTTTCTCCCATCTTGGTACTTTTTTGACACCAGTCTCCAGGGACAACCATTTTTACCCCTACACAGGTCAGTATTCCCTCTACATCTAGCCCCCAATCTGCCCCATTAAAATCTTTTGGTCTCTTGATTTCAACATGAGCTTTATAAAACTCCTTGAAAGCTAAGCAAAGTTTGGCAATTATTTTAAACAGGATACCAAGAACAACTTGGCAATCTGAAGATTCTGGCTTTTCCCAGTGGTGGTGGTGATTTTGTAAGCCTAGCTGCTGAAGAGACAAGCTGAGGCCACCAGGTCAACCAGTCAGCCTAGCGTGAACGCACAGAAACATGACAGCAAAGCGCTGCCGTCTCACCTGATGGCTCTTTCTGCTCCTCTTGCCCCAATTAGTTCTGGTGACCAGAGAACCACAGGGCACAGGAGGAACCCGACCTAGAGCAAAACGCCTGCTCATTCTTTCATGCCTCTACCCACTGTTTTGACAGGTCATTTATGGAAAGGTCATTCTGTGCAAGATACTTATGTTAAATGAAGCATTCTTTCTGTATTAACTGATTCATTTAACAGGTATTTATTGAGCATCTACTATGTGCCTGACACTATCCTAGGTGCTGGGGATATAGAGGGGAACTATACAAAATTCCTACCCTCATGGAATTTATAATCTGAGAGGAACCTAGTGATAAACCTGTAAACAGGGTTCAAGGTTGTTACAAATTAAAAACAGGAAAATATGATGGAAAGTGAGGGAGCAGCGTTTTGGCGAGGGTGGTCAGTTATGGCTTCCCTGAAGTGCTGACATCTAAACTGAAGACTGAATGATGAGAAGGGACCAGCAATGTAAAGATTCAGGGGAATAGCATTTAAAGCAGAGGGAACAGCCAGTACAAAGGCTTGGAATATTCAAGGCACAGAAAGGAGGTCAGTGTGACTGGGGAACAGTGAGCAACAGGGGAGAATGGTGAGAAGACTAGAAAACTAGGGATGGCCAAATCATGTCAGACCTTTGAGAGCCCTTGTAATTAAGGCCATGGTGAGGAGTTTGGATTTTATTCCCGTGGTGATGGGAAGCCATCAGAGGGCTTTCAATGGGTGTGGCGTGATCTGCTTTGTGCTTTAAAAGGCTCTCTGGCTGGCAGTGGGAAGAATGAACTGTAGCGGGGCAGACACGGTAGCAGACAGACCAGTGAGGAGGCTGAAGCAATCATCTGGGGCGGGGAGGCAGTGGAGCTGGAGAAGTCAGTGACTGTGGGATATGTTCTGGAGGCAGTGCTAACACGGCTTGCTGATGCGGGGAACTTCACCCCACCCCAAGCAACACTAACCAAGAGGGGGGAACAAGAGGATCACCTGTCTTATTTGCTGGGTGGGTGGGCAGAAGTCTAGCCTCCTACTTTGGAACTGTTTGGAAGGGAGCCCTGTTCACTGCTGCCTCCATGAATGGCAATAACACGCCATCATGATCCTAATAACTGTCCACTGTTCTTTGACTGTCGGAAGCTAGGGGGTTATACTTAGGGTCGAGTGTCCCCTGCACATCTTGTCCTCCAGAGGCACTGAGGTGGATGCCACTGGATCAGCACCGGGATCAATGCCCAGTTAAACTGTCCCCAGAGAGTGAACCAAGCACCAAGCAGCCGGTAGCATTTACTAACATACTAACAGGCAGCCTACCTTCAACCTCATAACTAGGCCAAAAAAAGAAAAAGAAAAAAAGGCTGTTTTGGTTCCAGATCATTCTCTATTTTTAGTATCTACAGACAGGAATTTCCTGAAAACGCCAGTGCCAAGAAGCAATAAAGGCAGTGGTGTGAGAAGGTTCTCTTCCACTTAGAGTGCTACCTTTTTTTTAAACCCTATATAGTGACAACAGAAGTGCCACCAAGAGCCCCATGTTCTGCCTGGTAAATCACCCACATGGCCCTCAAAGCAGCCGCCTGAGCCAGGGGGCGGCCAGGGCTGGTTCATCGTCCACACTGTTGACCATAACAATACTGGCCATGTGGGAAACCAAATGAGTCCCTGTTTAGGAGGTGGGAAAATTAGGACATGATGGACAGGTGAGACACAAGCTTCAAGCGAGGGGCTCCTAGTGCCCGGACAGCCAGTGCTGCCAAAGTCTTTCCACAGCAGTCCTTGAACTCCTGCCTGGAACTGAACTGCGTTTAATGGCAGTTTAGTTCTTGGCAGGCTGAACTATCATAAAGTGGTGGAGGGGGACCTGGAAGAGCTCTGACTGCAGCCTAGAGCCTTGGGACAAAGGGTTTTACATTAACTTTTCAAAGAACTCTGCTGGCCATTCAAAGCCTTTTATTGCACTATGCTCACGAAAAGCTCACTAGATCGATCCTCAGGCATCCTTCCTTTAGCAGCTGCATTTCAATTTTTGCTCACAACCTCAGATGGCAATTCAAACCCAACACTGACCACCCTGGAAGTGAGACGGATCAGGTGGGTGGGAAGAGTTATTTGGTGAATGAGTGTTCCAGGCACTGGGAGAAGAAGAGTAAGACAGTGCAGTCCTTGGTGGGAAAGACTGTGACACAGTAGGATATCAAAGTATAAGAGAGAGGAATACAAAATGCGGGGTAGGGGGGATGACTGCCTGGGGTAGGAGTGTCAAAAAAGTACCCAAGGAGGGCCATCCATCACCTTCGAGGATGAGCAGGGGTTTGCATGGTAATCTCCTGATCATCCTTGGATCCTTAGCAGCATGTGGTACCTTTACACAGTCACTATTTTGCTGACTTGGACTCACTAGGAAGGACAGGTGATTCTGTCCTAGGCAGCCCGTTTACTGCCTGTTACCTCCCACAACTTCCAATCAGCCCCCAATGTCTTCCCCACAATGACAGTATTGTGAGCATTTCCCCCCAAAGTCCTCTGTGCTGGCAGGTTTCCATTCTCCAAGACCTTTCCACTGGTAGCTCTGCTCACCTCCACAGAGAGGATCTTCCCCAAAGCAAAGAAAAAGGGGTGCATGTTGATGTCGGGGTCTTTGCGGAAGCAGTTGGGCTTGGCGTGGTGCTGGAAGTGCATGTGGTTCCACCAACTGGCAGGGGCCCCCTACAGAAAAGCAGGACATGAGTATGCCAGCCGTGTCCCCCTTCCTCCCAGGCAGTCCTTTATTGACCAGAGTTTCAGAGAACCCTTCCCCATCCCACTGACCTTCAGGTGGCCAATCACGAAATGATGTAGCAGGTGGTTCCACGTAGAGGTGCTGAAGACAGACAGGTGCCCAAAGTCATGCTGCAGCCAGCCAGCCTGGGCCTGGGCAAGAAATGTTAACGCTGAGAGCAGCCCACCAGCCCCGTGTCCCTCTCACTGACCCCAACCACTCCTCCCTCATCCACCTAGGCCTGTGATGGCCGCAGTATCCTAACTGAGCACATCAGGAAAGGAGTCAGGAAGCCTGGGTGCTAACTCTGGCTCTGCCACTAACTCACATGAGAGTTGGGGCAAATCATTGCCCCTTCCTTGTTCTTCAGTTTCCCCAGCTCTGGAGACCTGTGACTTTGATGGACTGAACACTCAGCTTACACAGAATGACAAACTCAGAGGCAAGCAGAAGGCTTGACAAATGGGTTTGGATAGCCGAGTATTAGGGCCCAAACATTTTTAACATGATAGGCAGTCTTGTGATGAGGAAAAGAAGCCAAGCTTTGCTGAGAAACCAGAATCTTGGTCCTTGGCATACTTGGGCTGTGGCAGAACCTAAATGCAAAGATTCAGAGGAGAAATTCCACAGGAAGAAGGGAACCCTGGAAGAAGCAGCTGGAGAGGCAGTGGGAGAAATGAAGGTACACAAGTGGCTAATGAACAGATGAAAGCCGCAGACAATGGAGTATGTGTTCTTTCTGCACTGACTCTCCCCATGTCCTCAGCTCGGTGCTGGTCGGAGGGCAAGGCGTCTTAGCCTCCTGGGGGTACAAAGAACTTTTCTAGGGATGCTAAGCATGGCTGTGCTCTTGACAAGCCAAGGGCTCTCACCTGAACTGCGCTGAGCAGCACTGCACAAACGAGGAAGGGCACGAAGGACGTCCCAAAGACCCGAAGAGTGAGCCAGGCAGCAACGTCCAGCAGCAGGATGTGCAGCAGGTACAACAGGAAGAAGACATGGTTGGCCTTCATGAGCCCCATCCGCTCCACTGTGGCCCGCAGCTCTCGGAACTCATCCGTCAGCTCTTTCTGAGAAAGAGTGGAGAGGGAGGGACTGTTATTCTTCCCAGCTGCAACCCAACACTGCTGGTGACAAGGGTCCTCTTAGGCTTAAGGACGTCCCACTGAGGTAGCTGCGGGAAGTCCACAGCCCTAGGTAAAAAGACCACAATCCTGAGGAAGGATGACAGAAGGAGGTGCTATGGTATCATGCCTAAGAGAGCGTGGCCTTTGGGAGTTAGACTTGACTCAAGTCCCTGCTCTGCCATTTACTAACAGCATGATCCTTGGCCATATTGCGTAACCTCTCTGAGCCTCAGTCTTCTCATCTGTCAATATGTGGTTATACGAGGTTATGCTTGGCAGGCACAGAGTAAGTGCTCAAGATGGGTCTCCTGTTGATGATGATGATGGTAGTGGTGGTGGCCTTGTGAGAAACCATAGGTTCCAAGGCTCCACTCTCTTGGGCCTGTGACCCAAAGACTATACAGAAGCAGGGACCTCAAACTTCCCGGAAACTACAGACTGTGGTCACCTATGATCCTATGTAGGGCTTCCTTCTACCCCCGGCCCCCGAACAACCACAGGGTCTCCAAACAGCAAACTAGAGTCTCACATTCTTAGTGGGCTCAAAGCTGGGCTGCTCCGGAGACAGTTCTCCAATCAGGAGCGAGTTCATGTACTTCTTCACAAGGCCCTTGTTGATGTGGAATGCCACAAAGGGATCCTGCAAGGATGAAGAGAAGGCAGGACAGTGAGGAATCCAGCCCCGCAGACTCCTGGAGGGCTCCCACCAAAGGCCATCCTCCTGACCCAGCAAGGTTTGTACCCAAGTTCAGACACCACCTCCATCCAGCCAGCAGCCTTTTGAGGGTGCTTAGACCTTTTCTGGGTGTCCACAGCTCAGGATAACCCAGCATCTGTGGTCCAGTAAGAAGGGCACCACATGGACAAATAGGGTGGGGGCCTCAGAAAGACCTTCCTGGGCTGCTGTTTCCTCTGTAGTTTCTAGGAACAGCTTTTACACATGAATTTAGGTGTGTTGGTGAGAACCAGAATGGATGGGTGGGGCTATGAAACTTTCCTTCTGTGGGACTCTTAACAAGGCCCTCTTTGAGCCTGCACGCTCCATAAAAATGTGATGAGGGTGATTCCCCATATCCCAACTGGAGAACTTTTCCATTTCTCCCCCTTTCCCTCAGCCACGGTTCCGGGTAGGCTTCCATATTTCACCTAGCACTTTGACCACCCCTTGCCCCGGCGCAGCAAATTTTCCTAACAACAGGTAGGGACCTTGGTGATGAGCTTCACGTCAGTAGGTCAGGAGGCCCCAGGCCCTATGGCGAGGCGGCAGGAGAGGCGGGAGCCGGGGCGGAGCCAGCAGCTGGTGGCACCACACAGCCGGACCAATCGCCGTCCCCGCCGCGGCAGGCCCCGGCCCCAAATCACACTGCAAGAAACCTTGGTGTTAATGCCTGCTCCTTCTGCGCATGCGGTCTCCGCCTTAGCCTTTGGCCGCCGTCTGGGCTCCCCTGCGGTCACTCGGGGTGACAAGCGCAGGCTCTGGCCTCGTCCCCCAAGCTGGCCGCGTCAGAGGGAAGGGCGGGTCCTCACGCTGAAGTGCCTGTGCACCGCTTCGACATAACGGGAACCCTGGTGGCCCGAGGCGCGCTCCGGGATGGCAAGAGCAGAGGGTGGGGACAGCGGAAGGGGTCACACCGCTGGGCGCAGGATGGGGGAAGGATGCTGAGGAAGGGGGCGTGGCGAAGAGAACGCTCCAACCTTTGGGTCCCAATCGGTGACCCCCAGCCCTCTAACCCAGCAGGGAGGCGCCAGGTGCCTCATCTCTGAGAGCCTGTGGTCTAGAAAGGGAAACAGCAGGACCTGGGCTTGGGGCACGCGCTGACCCAGCAGTGAGGCCCGAGGGAGTCCGGTTGCGACCCCGCACCAGGCCAACAACCGAGAGTGCAAACAGCTGTCTGCTGCGGCGAATAGCTGGAGACCCCGCTGGCCTGCGGCTGAGTGACCTCCCCACAGGATTCGAGGGTCGTTCCGGGGTCCTTGCCAAATGTATGTTGATGCAAACACCCGCCCCCCCTTCTTCAGCATGTCATTCTCATTTATGACTATGCACCAGCAGCCGCTGTCCTCTCTGGCACGAGAGGTTCCTTCCCCACCCTCCCGCCTTCACTCTGTGCAGGGTTTCCCAAGGCAGCGGGCACCAGGTGGCTTCCCGCCTCAGCCCTTTGCCGGAGAGTAATTCCCTCTCTGCTCCCGCTCACGAGGGTAGCCCAGCAAGCTCAGTCCAGACGCGGCTGCGCTCCCCTCCCGGCCACCGAAGCAGATCGACACCCTCTACCTACCACTGATTCCTCGGCCGCGGGAGAACCGACTCCTCCTCCCTCGGCCGCGGCAGCACCCGCAGTCCTGGTGCCCTGCATCCTCGCTTTCCCCCCTCCGGCCCTGCTCTGGGCCTGCCCACGCCTAGAGACCGCAAACTCGCGGCCACAGAAGGAACGCAGGCACCGACCGTTTGGCTCTTTGTTTGTGTGTGCACGTTGCCGGCCTCCATTTCCACTCCCCAGGCTCTACTTTTCACAGCCTCTCCCTGCCCTTGGATCCCGTGTCCACCGCAAACCCAATCACTGGTCAACAGCTATGCTCGGGCGCCTCTCGGCTTTCCCCTGAATTAGCTGGTGTTCGGCTGTGGGAGCCAAACTTCCGGCCCCGGCCGCCCAGCCCCGCCTCCTCCCGTGCCCGTGTCAAGCCGTGCTCACCGTGGCATCCTGTCCCGCGTAGTGGCTGATGACCCGGGAGCCCCCGGGGTGCCGGCGGTTGAACTCGCTGATGTTGTACACCTTCCGCTCGATCACCAGCCACCGCTCCTTGTTGCGCCCGGAGCGCTGCGCCACCTCTTCCCAAGTGAAGTAGCGCGGGGTCGGCCCCTGGGCCGGGGTCTCGGGGGCCATTGAGGCCTGGCAACGCCGCGCGCCCGCAAGGGAAAGGGCGGTCAGGCGCGCGCTCGGGGCCTGCGGATAGCGCGCGCCGGCCTCGCGTGCTCCGGGAGCGGGTCCGCTGGCGCGCGCCCGGAGCCCACCGCCCACGCGCCGGGTTTTCAGCACCGGCGGCCGGGACCGCCGGGCCCCGCTGCGCGCGCTCGCATTGGTCGAACCGCGTGGCGCGGAGCGAGCCCCCGCCTACCCGTGCGAGCCGGTTGCAGCAGGCCTGTGGCGGGCGGGGACGCGCGCCCCCTCGGGCTCCCTATCAGGGTCGCTGCTGGATCCCACTTCCAACTCGCGGCTTTCGCTCCCAGCGGGCACCGCGGGTGGGATAACGGTTCCCGTGGAGGTTCCTGGGTGCAGGGCCCGCTCGCGGCAGGATGCGGCCCGGAGTGTGTGAGCAGCCCTGGGGCTCTGGGGGAGGAGTTGGCTCAAGTGGGGGCGGGGCGGCTGGCGGAATCGCCAGTAGAGGTGACGGGGGTGGAGAGGGCTGTCCCTGCGGCCGAGGCTGTCCCTCTGCTGAGGCTGACCCAGTGGTTGAGCTGTCCCAGGGGCCTCATCTTTAAACT